CTTTGCAGTTATTCATGGTTATAAGTTCAGGATGCCTTCAGCCTTATTCTCACGTCCCCATGTGCTTGTATGTCTATGTCAATTGAGGCATTTGTACATCTTCATGATTTGCATATTGGGATCAATAAACTATATGAAGCAAGTCATGCATTATATACACTTCAAGATGCTTTGCATAAACGATATTTTGAATTTGGGGATTATGTTATATTGCAAGCCCACAGTGTTGATACTTTTAAAATTTCAGAGCATGTTGGTCCAACTGCACGTCATTGATCTTTCATCACATTTTGGCTGCCACTCTTTAAATATTGAGAACTTCATTACTTACAAAAACTGTTTCCATTCTTTTGATGATCTTTTTCTATTTAACTATGTGAACTCCTAACCTGTCTATGTTGATATTTCTACTTCCTTACCAACTGTCACAGCACACAAATGTACAATTGATGTTATTTTAGATGAACAGATTGTGTTGACCAATGATACAGAGATTTGGTGCTTCATTTCTCGTTGGGGAGTTCCACCTGATGCAGACCGTACATGGAGTCCTATAGAGAAGCTCCAACAAATTTGGATTAACCTGCTAGAGTTTCGATATTTGGTTCTTATGAAAGATCGTCCCCCTTGGTTGGATCATATTCTTGGGGATAAACTGCAACTATATTTGTTATCATTTGTGGAGTTTCGATAATTGGTTATCACGAAAGATCATCCCCCGTGGCACGACTTGGAGCATTAGGTATCAGATTCATTGCAACATTTTGATTTATCCACTCGACAGGGTCAAGTCTTTTTCCCACCCCGGGCGAGTTGATGCGGACATCATCATCTTGATTTATTTTATTGTTATAGGGCTTTATTATTTATGTTTTCTATTATTGGGCTTGTAGTAGTGGGTTAACCCAAACCCGTCACTAGTAGGTCAAGTTTTACTATTTATTGGATATTTTCATTGTTATTGAACAATTGATGAATACGATGAATTAAAGATTGGCTTGCAGCTGTTTTCTCCCCTCTTCTTCTTGCTTCTTCTCATGACTTCTTCCCATCCCTCTTCTTTCTCCTCTGCTACATTCTTCTTCCTTCTTGTTTGATAATTAATTCTCTATTTGTCCTGCATCACAAAGAAATATGATTCTTCTAGGAATAAGTTGCAACCAGATACTGAAAATCTGTAGCATAACTTTTTCGGTTGGAAATTGATTTATGAAAATACTTTAATTATATTTCACTTATTTGACCTTTAATCACATCCAATTGATTATATATGATCTTCAATCATTGTTTTATAATTGGAATCAACTATTGGATGTTTGCACTTTGGTTCCCAAACTTTGGATTTCTTTCATTTTTCTTTTCTTTCTTCCAATTCTACAAATTTGCCTTGAGTTTTACATAACAAATAAAATTAACATCTAATTAAGCTATAAGTCCTCAAAATTAATTACAATCGATCTTATTTAACGATCCAGATAAGTGTCACCCAACATATAATGATATGCCTTGACTGCTTCTTTCTACTTTGATCCAATATTTTTATGTGTAAAATCTTCGATGATTTTTTTATGTATTATCAATAATTTCATTCTTAATTGAGCACTATAATTATATCATATGTATGTTTTCAAAAAATGTTTATTTTCGATTGCATCTCTTCCCTGATATACATAACATATTTAGGTCTCTTTAATTTCACTAATTTGAAGTACCTGAACATCTTCTAGAGTTTTTTGATTAGTTATGTCTAGGTACTCTTCACAAATGTTTGGGTACTTTTCAGGAGTATCTGCCTCAATATGAACATCTTGTATTATTTTCTTCATTCTTCTTTCGAAGATATTTTATCCATGGAATGAATGTGTGTCTAATGCGCTTCATGCATGTGTTCGATTTACTAACTTTAATAATGATAGATTCCAACTAGAACATCAATCAAAACTTGAGTATTTAAGCTGGTGTATGTAACTCTGTTAGTATTGCATCTGGCATGAATTTCTATTTCTATTGCATAGTGCGATCATAGCTATGTACATTTTATGTAATTTCTTTTTCGCCTATTTTTCCCCTAATGATGAGATAACTGTCTCATAAAAATGACATTCAACAAATCATGTTGTAAAATAATACCGTCAGGGGTTATTTATAAGAGAGATTTAAGACCCTAAAACATTATCAACATTCTTTGGAAATAATTTTTTTTATGGAAGACTTAAAATAAAATGATGGCTTAAGGCATAAGAGTTGTGGTGTATGCAAATATCTTGTCTTCAAATAGAAATAAGAAACTTTGTTATCATAATAGACTTAAATTTCGTGTTGTGAGTGGATATAATAGACTCGTTTGTGATAATCTATTAGATGTATATTTTGAAATCGTATAAAGCTAAATGGTCTACGTGGAGAGTGAGTCGGCCTACATATATTCGCTGAACGATTTTAAGAAATGAAGAAATTGAGTCACAACTTTAGAGAAAGCATCACGTGAGAATTTATTTTTCTCTCACTAATTATTTGGATCATTTTTAATGTCATAAGGTCAATAACATGCCAAACATCAAATACCTTGAGGCTATTTGTACTTCTAATTCGTTAAGAATTTGTTTCAATTGTACTTGTACAATAGAAATTACAATGTGCGTACCTAAACATAATAGTTGATATTGTACTCATTCGGATTTCTATCATTCTTTTTATTTCTCGTTCACGGAGTCATAATAAATTTAGATAGTTAGCATACTATATGTACCAAAAGTACGTGAGAGGACATATACTATCAATAATAAAATTTATTCTTCCACGTAAGACATTATTGACTCTTTCTAGTTTTCAATAAGGTTAGTATATTTTGATATTGTGTTAATTTTCGTCACTTTTATTTCTCCTTCTAGGGTTAGTAGTAAAATAAACTAAATGCTTAGATACAAGACAAGCACCAATAATAAGTGAATAAATAAAAATTACCTCTTGTTACTTATTGATAATTAATAAAAATCAAATAATCTTACATCGTCGGGTAATGAATAATATACAATCTACGTACATATGTCTAATTGAAAAGTGACATATGATATTGACATGCCCATTTATCTCGATCTGAAAAATAGTGATATTTGTTGTAGTAAAATTTTACGAGATAGTTTTTTCATATAAGTGGCATATAATATTTTAGGATATAAACATAAGTTATACTTATTCGTGAGCAACAACAAAATATCGTTTAAAATAGTGCATCATATAAACTTTTTCTCTTCATGAGCAAAAAATAATATTTTTAATAAAATGTTAGATCTTATAAAACTACGTTGTTGAGGAGCAATTCTACTGAAATTATAATCAAATATAAAATCATATTTCAAGAAAAGTAATTTTGTAATACTCTTGTAGAATATTAATATTTGAATTTTTTTTTTTTTTCAAATATTCATATGCTTAGGTTGTGTGTTGTGTGTTTTTCTAGAACTAAAACGTAATATCCTTCTAAAATATTAATAAAATTGTGAATTGTGTTTTTTCGAAAACAACATACATATTTAGAATACTATATATAATATGTATAAAGTTGTTCTTTAGGAATAATGCAATAATGTGCTAAATATTGACATAATTTAAATTATGGTTCTTAAAAAACGCTAGAATTACTTTAGAATAAAATTGTGATTTCTTCGGACATGATGATATAGTATTCTTTCAGAACATTGATTTATAATAACTTATGCTACTTCAAAAGCAATACGAAATATTCTTATAGAATGTCGATTTAAAAATTACTCATTTTAAGAGAAACTTAACAATATCCTTTAAGATCAGTAGCATATATAAAATATTGTTTCTTCATGGGCTACAAAATAATATTTTTCCGAAATATCGCTGCTTATAATTTTTTTAAAATTGATTCAGTGTAGAAAGTAATGTCAAAATATCCTTATGAATTATAAAAAAGTAACAATATAATAATCTTTATGAATATCAATATAAAAATATTTCAGTATCAACAATATATATTTTAAAATATTATATTTATTAAATTATTCTCTTCTAGGAAATATCCTTCAACAATACTGACACATAATAATTTGATATTGAGCAATAAAAACAAATTATTCTGGAATATTGTTACGTGTAACTTTTTTATCACAATATTTTTATGAAATAATATAAAAACAATATAGATATAATCGAATTGAATAACATATACCATATTTTCTTTAGAAATCTGAAGTTAGAAGACTACAATATTTGCTTTTGGCCCAAAATAAATTATCACTTTGCTAATTAAATTAATTAGAACTTGATGCTTTCTTTGGAAAAATTTATCCCCTTTTTTTCAATTGGCTAGAATCTCGTACTGATAAGATATTATAAATTATAAAAAAAATACAGGGAAATAGAGAGAATCAATAGAGTTGTATTTATTTTACTGAGAACAAAAGTCATATGCATCGCGACTCGAAAATATTAAGCCAACATTTGAAGACACCATCAAAACCTATTGATTTCTAAAAATTAAAGGAATTGACAATCAATAAGTATCGATTTACAAAAGAATACCAACGATCGATGTTGATCGGCAAAGGGGTTGATTCGTATGAATACTGATATGCGCCAAGAAATTGAAAAAGAATTACGACTGTATTAGATTCTAGTAAAGAAAAAGAAAAATCAACCTTGTTAGTATTACGCGGGTTATATATAAATACTATTTTGAAGTGGAAATCGTTACTAATATGAAACACATACATAAGGTGTTTATTGTATTATTTGGAAAATTATGACTATACATAAATTTATGTGTTGTTATAATTTTAAATATTGTATTAAACATGGCAATATAACAACAAACAAACATTAATGCAAAATAATAGGTCCACAATAAATTAAACGATCTCACACACTCGCGGCCAAAATAAAGCCTAAAACCTTGTAACAAATATAAAATTGAAATGCAGAACAAAATTAAATCTTAGTCTATTTTGAATACTTCTCATCATATTTCCTTCTTAAATAACCAACGCAGCTCCAATGGACAGCAGAACTGGTAAGAAACTTGCAAACACATGCGTTGAGGAAGAACCAGGTGCAGGAGGAGGGATGCCAGCAGAAGGTGGTTTTGCCAAAGCCGTAGGCCCACCGGCATTGGGAGTTGATGACGGAGTAGGTGCACATGCATCGGGCTGACTTGAGGTGGGAGAAGGGGTTGTAGGGGTGGTTGGTGGGGTGGAAGTTGGCGGATTGGCCCCTGGCGTGGCTGAGACTGTTATAGCAAGCTTCTGCCCCGCTTGGCAGTGGCTGCCGATGGTGCAAATGTAGTAGTGCTCGCCTGCTGAGTCAAGAGTTACGTTTGCTGGTCCAGTTGTGATGGTACTGCCTATGGCATTGTCGTCGCTACATGCATCATAGGAAGACTTTGGTACTCGAAGGACATCGTGTTGGTTGGTCACGAAGTTAAACACTGAAGAAGAGAGGAAATACAGTTATTATATCGTACTGTGTCGTAAGTACACAAACTAAAAATTGTTGATCAAGATTACATCGCAAACATGAATTAGCTAGAAATATACTGATATTTGAAAGGAAAAATGAGTACCTAGGATGTCGCCAACCATGAAGGTTTTGCCCGAAGCCCAATTGGCATATGAGACTGAGCTATTTTGGGGTATATCCCAACCTAAGCCATCTCCAACAATGTACACATTTTGAGCACCTATGTAATGCACCATAGCTGCAAAAATAGCACCAAAAACAAGCTTACTTACAAACATGTCCATCTCTCTTATGAACTCCTCCTTTTTTTTGTGGTATGAAGTGTATTTTTCAAATTAATGTGCAAATTGCTAATGATATTGTGAATCTACTTGTGGTTTCAATGCTGTTAAATGTAAGCTATATATACTGAGGCGTTGTGGAAATGGTCTTAAGCTTGTAAGGGGAAATTAGGTGCCTTAGCTTTCAGCAAGACTTGAATGGTCAGCTATGGCTCCGGTCCTTCCATATTGGGATATATGGAAATCTCAAGTCATGGTCTGAACAATTAGAAATATGGGAACCGGAAGGAGTATGGGAATAGACTCATTCAACTTTCTCACACTGCATAGAAATTTCTGCATAACACTTCCAGAATCAAGAATTTAGAGTTCCAAGTTTGACTTTTTGTTGGGTCCTTTCCACGTCATTGACAGATGACTTCAATGTTCCAATTTTCTAGGTTGCTTGGGCAAAGTTTTGTTGGAAAAAAAATGATTTGCTGGGTTATTTTGGTATAATTTTGAATGGAAAACGTTTGTTATTTTGGAAGATCAAAATTGATTTATATATATAGATTATTTTACAAAATTTTAAAATATGGCGTGAAGATTGTATGGGAAAGTGCTTGCCTTTTAATTTTTAAACATAGTAAATATTAACTAATAATTGTTCCAACTTTGAGCAAGAAGCATGTAGCTCATATGGTGGAGGGGTCAATTAGTGTGTGAGATGTATAGGGTTCAATTCCATGCACTTTTAATTTTTTGTTTATTTCTTATTACAATAAATAATAACTAAAAAATTATATATTATTAGTTTTTTTTCAAAATAATTTCTTTAAAAAACTTATTGACTCAAATTATTACTCCATGATACATATACTTTTTTTGTTAGATTTTATTAATTTATTTTATAAAATTCAAATTTGGACAATTTAAGTGTCGTTAATTATTCTTTTAAAAGTTCAAAAAACACCTTTTTTGGATAAAAAATAGTTCTAGTTCTAAAAATCATTGTTTTCAAAATTTTGCATAACTTTCGCCTAAACTCGAAAATTGTCTTTACCGTTTAATCATATTTTGCATATAAATTGTTTTGTTTAAGTTTGTAAAAAACTTGAAATTTAATCATACATATATGATTGAAAAATATATTTTTTTTCCTTATCATTTTAGGTTGTATTGGATTATGTTTTCAAATGTATATAACTTTTACGTCTTATTGTATTTATGTATTGATTGATTTTTTTAATATTATTTAATTAAATATTAATAAACAATATTACTATTGCGGCTGTCAACAAGCGCCCTAGTTGATTTAATATCTTGGATCCGCCACTGATCGAAATTATATATTTATTTGCCAAAAATGATACTTGGACAAATGAGAAATTGTAGCTTAAAGTTGATCAATTGAAAAAAGGTTCATGTATTGGAGGAAAAACTAAGGGTGCGTTTGATTCGGACCAAATTCCATGGAAAATGGAAAACATTTTCCATTTTTCCACTTTTCATGCGTTTGATGTGTCTTTTTTTCTAGGGAATTCATTTTCCACCNTTTAATTTTTTTTTTTTTACTTTTTGGTAATTAGAATAAATTCTAGACGTATTGGTAGAAAAATTATCACTTTAATGGACAATTTTTATAAAAAAATGAAGTCAAACGGACACCAAACTTTCAACATTTTCCAGATAGAAAATTATACCAATCAAACACAATTAATTACAATTTCCAGTAAAACAAATTCTAGGCAATTCAATTCCCAGTAAAACATTTTCTTTCCACCAATTTTCCACCTTTGCAATCAAACGGACCCTAATTTAAATTTGTTTCCTTATAGGATGTTTATCAAGGCAAAGCCTACTTTATATATGGCTATACTTTGGAAAGTTGTAGTCATGCTCTTTCCACGTGCACATGAAATAGGGTGCATTCACGGACCAAATTAACATTTCAGATCTAGAACTTGTGTGCATTCGCCATTGTAGAAGTTGAAGTGCTCAAATTTTACTGTGTCACGAGTAGCTTGGCTAGAGTTGGACAAAATTTTCGAATCAAACTAGACTAAACCAAACCTGAACCGAGCGGTTCTTCATAATTTAAATACTCGAACGAGTATCTGAATCTAGAACTGATGGGTTTGGTTCGGTTCGATTCTCGGTTCTAGACCAAGAACCGAAAAACCGAATAAGAAACGAATCTAAATAATTTTTTTAGTTTTTTATATTGAATTAATTAAATTATTTTAATTTTTTCTAAACAAATTAGAAAATTAAATAATTTAGTTGAACAAATTTTAGTTTGTTTGTGTTTGTTAATTGTGTTTTTTCAATTATACTTCTAGAGTTTCTTAGCATGACAAGTCAAGCAATTGATAATTAAATCAAATAGGTGGTAAGTATTACCAATATTTAAAAATATTTTATTTTTATAACTTCTAATTTATATTTCATTTTTTTATATAGTTGCTTGAAACAAATGAATTATTGATATGGATCACCGATATTTTAGTATTAATGTCTACTTTTTGGTATTTGTATACATTTGATTAATCTTATTGGACAACTTGTTATTTATATGTTTTTAAATTGGACTGCGATAATTTGTAAAAGCTACGAATGAACATGTCATTAGTTGTATTTATGTAGTGTTGCGGTAAATGTTAAAAAAATTAATTATGGTACGGAACCGAACATAACCGAAAAAATCTGAACAGAACGGAATCGAACCCAAACGGTTCTATATTTATATTTGGACCCGGCGGTTCCATTTATTAAATACCCGAAAATTTTAGTTCAGTTCGGTTCGGTTCTAATATCCAACCCTAAGCTTGGCTAATTAACTATACAACGTATATAGTATGATGAAAAATCTTAAAGAGTTATAGGAGTCTTTTGATTGAAAATATAAAATTGAGGATGTCGGGCTAAGATATTTTTTGTCGGCCGATTTTTAGATTATAAGATGGTGGACTCAAAAATTATAATTCGTCAAATACATGAACTCTAATGGTTCTACATGAAATTCATGACTAATGGATGATTTTAAGTGAAACTTTTCAAGTGACTGCTATTATTGAGAAGTTGCCTCAGACCTGGAACTATTTCAAAAATTATCTCAAATAAAAATGAAAAGAAATGAACATTGAAGAACTTATTGTTAGATTTCGAATTGAAGAAGACAACAAAATTTCGAAAAAGAAGGGATTCAATTTTGTTGTGGGTAAAGCCAATGTAGTTGAGTATAATTAAACTTCTAAGACCTTCAAGAACAAGTTTGGGCCATCTAGTGGTAAAGGGGCTAAGTTGGGAATGAAAGGTGGCATTCTAAGAAAAAGTTTCAAGGAAAATGTTTTAACTGTGAAAAAGTAGGCCATAAATTTTCGGAGTGTAGATTGCCGAAGAAAAAAATAAGAAATAAGCAAATTTAGTTGATTATATGGCACAAGATGTGTCTGATATATATGAATCTCTCAGCCGTTATTTCTAAAGTGAATATAATGGGTGCAAATTCAAAAGAGTGGTGGATTGTCATCGATGCTACAAGGCATGTGTACTCTGATAACGAGTTGTTTATTCATTCGAAGCAATTGAAAATGAGAAGTTTTTTTATGAGAAATTCAGTAACCTCCGAAATTAAGGATCAAAGAAAGATAGTTTTGAAGATGACTTTTGGAAAAGAGTTGACTCTTAACAATGTGTTATATGTGTCGAAAATTACAATCAATATTGCTCAATGTAATATTTCTAACAATGTAAGTCATTCTAACTCGAAATAACTAGAAAATTCAAACTTTGTAAGCTTATGTAACAAAAACAAACTACATTAATATAACTCAAAAATTAAAATATTGAATTGAAAGATTTCAATATTTAACTACCATACTTATTTTTTTCCTACTCTATTATTATTATTATTATTATGTCGTATCACATATTATTAAAAAAAATCAAATTATATTTTTTAATACCCTGCAACTACACTAGCTTTTACATAACCCATTTGTGCATTTTCTCTTTGTGTAACCTTTACGGTTGTATTGGATGCAAATTTTTGTAAATATTGTCTATTTTAACTTATACGGAAATCTTTCTATTGCAATTCATATTAGCATTGGAAATGCCTTTAAAAAATATTCTAAAGCCCATAGTTAACGTTGACGGGTCTAAGGTTAAATGATTCGAGAATATTATCTAGTACAACTATGTTAGTCAATACTAACTCAAATTCATATTTATTGTACTTTAAAAATATGAAATGATGTATTATGTAATCTAGATTAAGATATTTAGGCGTGCCATAAATTAAGAATATATGTTAATAAAATATGAAGAATTTAATTAGAAGCTAAAGTTGATATATCAAGCTCATAGGTGCAAAAATTTGAATAGCATGATATCATGTAGATAAATATTTTTTTAATAACTTACGTATTGGACTATCGAATTCAAACTGTTTGTACTGACTCGTCAACCATTGTAGTGGGAAATGGTGGCCTCTGGGCCCCTGTTGAATTCTTGGTTTTTTTCCTCTTATTATTTTATAAACTACAATTTAAACTTAATACTCATAGTGATGGTGTGTCTTAGTGGTTAAAGGTTCATGATTCTCCTTCGCAATGTTCAAATGTTTAACATATAAATAAATATTTTTGTGTTTTTCTTGAGGAAATTTGCATAATGAGTTCTTAACCTTTAAAAACTCCATTAAATTCGTTCCCAATCTTTCGTCACTTCATCTTTTCTTTTCTTTTTTTCACATATTTCATCTTTTTTGCATAATTCCATCAAACTCAAACTTAATTTCCTACTTGAGATGAAAATATTAATTTTCCTAATTATAAAGTTGGCAATATCTTCTATATATTAAAAGTGGCTACGTAATAGAATTTCTTGTTTTTAACGGAATTTATTGTTTTAACGGACTATGTAACGGAATTTCTTGTTTTAAACAGGTAGCTGCACCTTCTTTCAATGTTTTTATCATAACTTTGTATTCCGATATCCGATTGTGGCGATTCAAA